CCATGCACCATGACCCATGCGACGGTTGGTTGGGTGGCTCAAGGGATGACTGTGCATGCATGCATGCTGCATGCGCCTGAAGAAGCCGATATCGCCCCACTCGTACTGCACTCCACTGTGCGGTTGCAAGGGGCGGGAGTTTGCAAGCTGGGTGGGGGGTAGCAAGCTGAGTGGGAGGTAACAAGCTGAGTGGGAGGTAGCAAGCTGAGTGGGAGGTAGCAAGCTGAGTGGGAGGTAGCAAGCTGAGTGGGAGGTAGCAAGCTGAGTGGGAGGTAGCAAGCTGAGTGGGAGGTAGCAAGCTGAGTGGGAGGTAGCAAGCTGAGTGGGGGATAGCAAGCTGAGTGGGAGGTAGCAAGCTGAGTGGGAGGTAGCAAGCTGAGTGGGGGATAGCAAGCTGAGTCAATTTCTGAGTCGACTCGTCGCCTGCAGAAGCCGATATGGTCCCACTCGTACTGCAGTGCACACTGCGGTTGCAAGGGGCGGGACGTAGCAAGCTCAGGGTGGGGGAGAAGCTCAGTGGGGCAGGGAGTGACCTCAGTGGGAGGGAGGAAGCTCGGTGGGGTGGGGGAAGCCCAATGGGGGGAGAAGCTCAGCGGGTTGGGGGGAGAAGCTTAGTGGGTTGGGGGGAGAAGCTCAGTGGGTTGGGGGGGGAAGCTCAGTGGGTTGGGGGGGGGAGCTCAGTGGGTTGGGGGGGGAAGCTCAGTGGGTTGGGGGGGGAAGCTCAGTGGGTTGGGGGGGGGAAAGTTTAGTGGGAGCGAGGAAGCTCAGTGGGAGCGAGGAAGCTCAGTGGGTGGGGGAAGCGAGGAGAGTGGCGGAGAGGGAGAGGAGATTGAGGGAGAGAGGAGTTAAGGGGAGCGTGTAGGGGAGGGTATAGCAGGGATGGGAGGATGAGTGGGGCATACAGGGGTGAGACAGGAGGTGATGATGGTGCTTACAGGTGAGGATGAGGGAGAGACTGCACATTGCAAAAGAATCTCCTTAAAAAGGGGAGCTTAGGGCGAGAGGGGGATGGAAGGAGGGGTAAGCAAAAAAATATGAGTGCCAGGTCAGACAAGCAAAATGTGATGGCTCATATTAGTCTCCATTCCTCGTCAGCCTGGCATGCCCGCCAGGGACTAACTCTTCAGTGGATGACGGGTTGTGGATCATCCACTCCGTCGGAGAATTCATTTCATCGCCAGCGAGATTCGAACTCCGACCTTCAACACATGATCAGGCCATGTGAAGATAAGATAAAAAATATTTAAGTCAAGGGCGAGCTAGAAACAGCACTTTGCACTCCATTTTTTGTCGCCACGAGCTATGCACCATCCAACATACACCATGCACCATGACCCATGCACGATGACCCATGACCCATGCACCATGACCCATGATTGGGTGGCTCAAGAGATGCCTGTGCAGGCAGTGGACTGTGGATGCATGCATGTGCACAGAAGCCGATCTGGTACCATTCATACTCCACCCCAGTGTGGGGGATGCAAGAGGAAGGGGGCAAGGCAAGCTCAGTGGGGGCTGGCAAGCTCAGTGAGTGTGGGGAAGAGAAGCTCATTGGGGGGGGAAGGAAGCTCAGTGGGGTGGGGGAAAGCTCAGTGGGAGGGGGAAAAGCTCAGTGGGAGGGGGGGAGGTCTGTGAGGGGGAGCTCAGGACGGGGAAGAGTGGAGAGCAGCCAAGAGTTAGGGATGGGATTTTGGGGAGAGTTTGGGGGAGCCAATAGTGGGGATGGGAGGATGAGTGGAAGGCATAAAAGGGAAGGGTGAGAAGGAGAAGAGGCGATGGTGCTTACAGGTGAGGATGAGGGAGACACGGCACAATGCAAAAGTATCCTCTTACAAAGTGGAGTGTAGGCGAAGTGGGGGACAGACGTTGGGGCAAAGGATAATGAATGGTAGGGTAGACGGGCAAAATGTGAGGGCTCATATTGGTCTCCGTTCCTCGTCAGCCTGACATGCCCGCCAGGGACTAACTTCTTCAGTGGATGACGGGTTGTGGATCATCCACTCCGTCGGAGAATTTGTTTCATCGCCAGCGAGATTCGAACTCTGACCGTCAACACATGATCTGGTCACGACAAATCTATGCTGAAAATAATGTAGTCGTTTTCCCGAAAGTGTTATAGCAGGGCAGGTAAGGGAGTGTCAAAGAACTATAAACGGTTTTGTGCTATTCAGGGAAACGCCTAGCTCTAATGACACAACAAAGACAAGATAATAATAAAAAAGGACTTCTCACAAGGCAGTAGTAGTACTCAAGCTTTCTTGGACTCCAACTCACAGTTCTCACCTTAAGATTCTCCTAAAGCTCTAGGCTCTTGCGCTGCGTCCTATTAGCACACTCTGATTACTCTCAGAACTCCTTAATTTGCCCACTCTTGTTTACCGTAGCGGTAGCGTGCACGGTGTCAAGAACAAGAGAGATCGCAACCAGTTGCTCTTTATGGCTGCCCTGACCGGCAGCCCCACATTCCCTTCATCACTCACTCCCTCACTCCTCCCTCACTCCTCCCTCACTCCTCCCTCACTGCCCCCCCACTCGCTCCCTCACCTGCAGTTCAAGACACCCGTTCTTCACAGCCCTGCCACTCCCTCCCCCTCTCTCTCCCGCATACCCTCCCCCAACCCTTCCCTCCATTCCTCACTCCCTCCCCCTCTCTCTCCCTCATACCCTCCCCAAAAAATATTCCCTCCATTCCTCACTCCCCCCCTCACCTGCAGTTCGATGCATCCGTCTTTCACGGCGCCGCCACTCCCGAGCGCCACTTTCAGCTTCTTCAGCAGCGCTGCCACCTCAGCATCGCCGCCAGCCAGTCGCAGCCCCTCCACCACTGTCACCGTTTTCCCGCCACGTCCGCGCCGCGTCGCCTGCACCGTTACCCCGCCGCCCTTCGCCGACGCCGCAGTCTTTCCTCCTTGCTGGCTTCCGCTTTTTCCGGAAGGTCCGCTTCGGCTAGGCGCGCTTCCTCGTTTAGCGCTTCCGCCATCCGCGGTTCTTGATTCTCTGTCTGTTCTTCCGCTAGCATCACTTTTGCGAATAATCACAAAATCGTCGGCGTTCCCTGTAGTCCGCACCGAACCGCCAATATCTGAATCGCTATCATCGCGACCGTCGAATGGTTCTGCCGCACTTCTGCCAAGCGGAAAGCTTCGCTTCAGGGCGGCGAAAGGGTTGCCGCCTTGCGAGGTTGACGTACTTTGCGACGGACGACCGGCAAATGCGGTGACCACAAGGTAGCCCGAAGACGAGCTTGCGGAGGACAAAGCGATTGCTGGCGAAGCTGCCGGACGGAGGCTGGCAAGCTCTCCGCAAATGACGGAAGAAGCTGTGAAGCTGGAGGCTAGTGAAAGTGAAGCCATGGTGGTGGTGAATCTGCTCTGGCAGAATCAGATTCTTTTGGTCAGGCATTGTACGCTTTAGTGGACCGGATGCTTTTAGTGGATTCAATTTACGTATCGCGTGTGTGTTTTTCTGTAAATTATGAACATATTATTTTCGTGAACTTGAAAGGCATGTTGGAAGTATTCTGGTGGTTGGGAATTGTCACTCTTCTGTCCACGTATTGCTGCTTTTGATACACGTCCCCATCCGCTTTGATCACCATCCATTGCATCTACACGTCGAAAGAGCCTTTCAATTCAACTGACATGGCAATCCAGTCAGCTTCTCACCACTGCTGCCACGCAATCCCGAGCACGTGGATCACGGATGTTCCAGAGTGCTCCAGTGACTTGCCTCTAACGAGGGTTGATGCAGGACGACGAGTAGCAGAACGACATTTCAGAAGCAGGACGAGCAACTTCGACCACTTTCGCCAATCGCACGTGCCGCGCGAGACATGAGCTGTTGCTAATCCCACCGTAGCGTAACGCGTGCCAACGTATTAAACCGCGGGGTCTGTCTTGCTGTCGCCCCCCTGCTCATGCTGAAGGATGAACCAACGGTAAAGAGGAGCCGAGCAGCTTCTGCGGTGCTTTGAGTAGCCTCGTCTTCTCATGCCAAGAAAGGAGTCTCTTTATTTCCTGGCATACCTGTCGTTTTACGGAGTCGGTTCTCCCATCATCTTCTTTACTTCATTACCTGATTCAATTTGGACTAGTTCGAGTCGCCACCGTTGATCTAGTCCGTGAGAAGCTGCGGTTGAAGGACAGGGTGTCATGGACACGCTTCGCGTTTCCTCTCCGACGGCATTGTCGTCCCTAGTGTTATCCCCGTTACGAGCCCCATCGTTAGTGTCACCGAATCTCGGCGCAGTTTCGGGTTTACCCCCGCGTCTCTGCGTCTCTGCCGCCATCCACCATTCGGATAGCAACAGAGCTCCTTTCTGCGAAGCTTCCGCGCTGTCGCACCGCCATGCCTCCCCGCTCTCCGTCCCTCTCCCCCCTCGCAGCATCTGCCACGCGCCGAAAAGACCAATCACCAGACGCCACGTGGCGACGAAAGACGCAGTGGACGGAGGCTCCGCCAGCGGCGGCGGCGGCGGCGGGAGCGGGGAGGAGAGTGACGAGGATGAGGAGGTGGCGACGCTGGTGCGAGGGATGACTTTCGCAGAGCTCTGCGACGACTTCGAGTGCGTGAGCAGCCCCGCCGTTGAGCGAACGGCGAAACAGTTGGCGAGAGACATTCACGACATCCGTGAAGACAAGCGGACGCTGTCGTGCTTCGCCATCGACTCAAAATACTCGGTAAGGCGAACCCTACACGTGTTTCAAAACTACTGTAACAGCTAGCGCGATAGGAATGACACACGAGGCGCTCGCCGAGATGATTGAAGACGCGGCTAGCATATCAAATCATCAGGAGCAGTTGAGATAAGCCTCGTCAGTTAACACGTTTTCAGGCTAGCATCGCCGGTTTTCCTGGTCTTATAATCCTCTTAACTCATAAATCCCCACATGCTAATTCCCATTCCCTGGCACGGTTTGCGGCTTCTCTGATCACGTGCACGAATCCTGAAGCCCTACGTTTCCTGCTCTTCCTATCTCTGTCCGTCGTTGCTCCCGCAGGACTCGATTCGGTCCTTCACGGGTCGCGACAAATACCGCCGCCTTTCGTGGATCCGCAGCGCGCTTCAGAACTCCTCAGTGGTGAGCATAGCAGGCTCGGCAACAGCGCGCTTCGTATTCTCGTCTCTTGCTTCTTCCATAGTAATCTTATTCCGACTTATGTGGCGCAGCCGTGTGACATTATGCCCAGAAATAAGTTAGACACTTAATTACCTAATCACCTAGTCAATTATTCACTAGGCTTGGGGACGCGACGTGTGCGAAGTCTCGTTTTTGGAAGCGAATAGCCTAGTCTTGGGACGTCTCAAAACACGGGAATAACAACCAGGCTAGCAGCACTAGGGTCTCACTTGAGGGTCGTTCATTGCGATTCGTAACGGCAAAGCAGGTCACAACTCGACCATCCCGTTCTCGCCTTCATCCTTTCTCCCCCATCCCTCCACCCCCCCCCTCCCCCTCCTCTCCCCTCCACCCCCCCTCCCCCTTTCCCCGCCCGCCCCTTCCCCTCCCCCCCCCCCTCTCCCCCCCCTCCCCCCAACCCCCGTTTTACTCACACCCGCTCCCTTCCAGCACATGCTGGGAATGGGACTGTCAATAGAGTCCCCGAGCACACCCCTCTGCACTTCCCCCCCGCGGGCTCCCCCCTTCGTCCCCCCCTTTCCCCCGCCCATCCCCTACCTCCCCCGTCTCAGGACATGCTGGGAATCTACTAGCGCACACTGTTTGGTCTCCCCCCATTGCGCCCCCCTCCCCCCTCTCCACCCCCTCCCCCACTCCCCCATCCCCACCCCCACCCCCATACCCTACCTCCCCCATCGCAGCACATGCTGGGAATGTCAATGGAGTCAACGAGCGTCCTCGTGATTACGTGGCAGCTTCGCGGGTACCTCGTCATCCCGGGCGGCTTGCTGGACGCGCGAGTGACGTCAACGTTCACGCTGAACCAGATCAGCGGCCAGGTCATCAACCACCGCGACCAATGGGACGTCGCCAGCTCAGCGCTGCCCATCCAGCTGGCGTTCTGGGCGTCGCGGCTCGCGTGGTCCACGTCGGAGGCGATTAAAGACGTCACGGAGAAGTCCGGAGAGGGTAGCAAGAGCGGAGGCGGCGACTCGAATTATATTTATCCTCACCCGTCGGGCGACCCTAGACGAGTAGGTGACGGGATGTCATAGTGTGGTGGTGATGGTGGTGGTGTGCGCACGTGGTGATGGAGGAAAGCTGGGGAGGAGGGATGAGGGAATTGGGATTAGGGGAGATGTTGAGGAGGAGGGTGAGGGATGAGGGAAGAAACATGTCCTGGGCACCTACGTCTCATATTCCTGTCCTCCCCACATGACCAGTCAGACAATCGCAAGCTGTGAGACATCTCAGAAGTTAACCACAGAAACAAACATCCACCGTTCTGGCATGGCATGTGCCATCCTCCCTTTCTCACATCGATCAACCCATCACCCACATTATCCCATCGTCAGTGTCCAATCCAATCCAACCATCTCATTCATTCCCGTCGTCTCTGACTCTCTTTATCTCTGCCCCAGATCCCATTGTTCCCATTGCTTTATCTCTGATGACTACTTCCTTCCTTCCACTACCACCATCCCACAACCACTCGCCCCTCTGCGGTTCATTCAGCAGCCGGCCAGCGATCCCAACAGGGGCCTTTTCCAGGCACTTTAGTGTTTATTCATGCCTTGCTCTCCCTTAACCGCTTGTATCACCCCCACCCCACCACTGGGCATCCCCAACCCCTCTCGCAGCAGCACGTTGACCCCAAGCGGGACCTCTCCAAGGCAGCCTTGTCCACCTGTGCTCATCTGCACTTGTCCAATCCTATCACCCCACCCCCACCACCAGCCATCTCCCAATCCTATCACCCCACCCCCACCACCAGCCATCTCCCAATCCTATCACCCCACCCCCACCACCAGCCATCTCCCAATCCCTCGCCCACGTCACAGTTCACGGCAGGGCGACCCCGATAGGGACCTGTACCAAGCGCCCTTCTTCATCTTTCCCCTTGTTCACTCCTTCTATTAACCCCCCCCCACCCCTTCCCATGCTGGGCTGGGCAATGATCCTCCTGTTCGCTCCCATCGCAGTTCATCCAATGGGGTGGCCCCAACAGGGACTTGTACCAGGCGGCCATGTGCTCATTCATGCCTTGCTTTTCCTGAACCATTCCTATCACACTGATCACCCCACCACCATACCATCCCCACCCGTTGGCCCGTTCTGCAGTTCATCCAGCAGGGCAATCCCAACAAGGACCCCTGTACCAGGCGGCCTTCGTCATCTGTGCCTGTTTTCCCCTATCCATTCCTCACATGAACCCCACCACCCCCCTTCCCCCTACCCCTCACCCCCCTTGTGCAGTTCATCCAGCAGGGCGATCTCAGCAAGGACCTGTACCAGGCAGCTTTGTGCTGTTCCGTGCCACTTTCCTCTTATCCACTCCTATAATTACCCCCCCCCCCCCTCCCCACACCATCCTCCCACCACCCCTCACCCGCCTTGTGCAGTTTATCCAGCAGGGCGACCCCAACAAGCTGTACCAGGCGGCCTTGTGTCTACCCGTCCATCCTTCCCCTTATCAACTCCTCCTATTAACCCCCCCCCCCCCCCCCCTCTCCCTCCCCACTCATCCCCTCGCCCCCCATGGCAGTTCATCCAGCAGGGCGACCCCAACAAGGACCTCTACCAGGCGGCCTTCTTCATCGCTCTGCTCTACCTGGTCGTGCAAGCCGTGCAGCTCATCATCTGACATGCCTCACCTCCTCTTTGCTCGTTTGGAGTTTTGAAAGAGAGGGGGGGGGGGGGAATGCTGGGCTGGGCAATGATCCTGCTTGCAACATGCAGTGTGGATATCCCCATGTGCATTCTGGACTGCATGCAAGGTATATGAGACTTGACGGCAAGGCGGTGGCCAACGCTCCAACACGAGTTCCAGGGATTTTGTGTCCCATCTTTATACTGCTGGCTGGGAGGTTGTGTGGATTTGAGGCAAAACTGTCTTCTGTGTGAGTCGTTCTGTCTGTTCATGTGTGTATGTACATTGCTGATTTTGTTTGTTTCTGAATTGGGTTGCTTGACCTTAGTCCCCAAACCCTTGGGGGAGTGATACATCTTACGGTACTGTATATCTCTTGATATGCCGAGTGATTGCAATATGCTGTATGCCAGTAATATATTCCCATATTTCTCCCAACTACACTAAACAAGACAGAAAATAACCTCCCTACTGGGCAGTAGGAAAGTTGCAGATAATACATTATCATACATTGCTCAGTTCAGTGTACTGTACTCGAATTAAACCTTTGGCCTTGGGAATTCAGTAGGAGACTTGTGTCAAAGTACAATCTTACTTGTAGGCTATAGTGGGGCACTCCTTATGGGGTACAGCACTTTTAGGGTTAGTACTTGTACCCCAACTCTTGCTAATCCAATCATTCCTGCATAGTTATTCTGACAGGGTATTCAGAGCAGGAAACCTGTTAAGTTTTTAGGGCCCACCGATAGTTTCGCACGTTCCTGCCCGAAGCGCCCTTGCGCTGTCCGGCCCTGCTAGCACAGTGTCGCGCTGCCCTGCAGCTACTCGCACTGCCTGCCCCCCCCCCCCCCGCACGTCGCGCCCTGCTGCAGCCAGCGCGTCGCGCCCTGCTGCAGCCAGCGCGTCGCGCTCTACTGCAGCCAGCGCGTCGCGCTCTACTGCAGCCAGCGCGTCGCGCTCTGCTCAGGCCTCACGTTTTCAGAGTAAATTACTCTGTTTCTCTGAAAATCAGAGTCATTTTTGAAAGTAACTCTGTACCCGCTGGGTAATTTTTTTGGGACTTCCGATTTCTCTGATTTGTCAGAGTTATGCTGTAGTTTACTCTGAGGCCTCTGGGTTTTTTTTTCGGGGACCGAATTTACTCTGTATAGGGAATACCTGCCGGCTCCCCCTCCCCCGCCCCCCTCCCCTCCCCACCTCCCCCTGCGTTTAGCGGGTTTTCCCCGAATCGTCGAGATCATTCTCCTGATTTCTGTCGTGTGTTGGCGGCAATATGAGCACTGATTGGCTACCGTAGTTTGACAACTTTCCCAACCAGCGCACGATGCCAGCCAGTCCCCTCTCTCTTTATGTCTGAAGTGAACGTCGACGTTTCCCGACGAAACTTTGAGGGACGTCGAGGAATCATGACGGTCGGAACGCTCAATCCGAGGGTTGAGATTCGCCAGCATTCCCCGACGAAACTGTACATCCGTCGACATTTCACTTCAGACACGCTCTTTGGGGGTGTCCGAAGTGAAACGTCGACATCCGTGGACATCCGTTTGGGGATGTCGGTAAATCCTGACGGTTGGAACTGTCGATCCGAGGGATGACATTTACCGACATCCAGCGACATCTATTGACGTTTCACTTCGGACACGCCCTTAGGGCGTGTTCCTACGCTCTTATCAGGCAAACCTCTTGTCAGCCTTGCCTGGTAAAAGTAGCGAGGGTTTTTGGGTTTAGGAAATTTTCAGGGGGAAAAGTAGCGAGCTTGATAAGGGGTTGCCCTGATAAGGGGCCGTAGGAACACGCCCTTAGTCAGATTATCGGTGCCGCCAACACCTCACTCTGAAACATCGCAGTGAGGGGGGAAACGTGGGCGACGCGGAAATGCAAGTACAAAAGGCGTAACAAAAACCTATTAAGGTCATGGTACACCAAACTTAACTAACATCAGAGTAGAGAAAAATATTACTCTGACGTGCCTGGGTTTTTTTTTGAAAGTATAGGGTTACTCTGACAAATCAGAGTAAGGCGCAGGAACAACCCTAGATTTCAGAGTTGGGAAAAAAACTACTCTGGAAATCAGAGTACCTAAAATCCAAAAATAGGCCCTGGCTCTGCTGCCCTGAGCGTCGCGCCCTGCTGCAGCCAGCGCGTCGCGCCCTACTGCAGCTAGAGCGCCGCGCTCTGCTGCCCCTCGCGTCGCGCCCTGCTGCAGCCAGCGCGTCGCGCCCTACTGCAGCCAGCGCGTCGCGCTCTGCTGCCCCACACGTCGCGCCCTGATGCCCTGCACAGCGAGCGCCCTGCTATCCTGCCCAACCCGAGCCGCGCCGCCCGAGCCGTCCTGCCCAACCCGAGCCGCGCCACCCTACCTTGATCACAAGCCCCACCGAGCCGCCCTGCTGCCACTACTGCTGCTGCTGCTGCTCGTGCTACTGCTGCTGCTGGTGGAGGTTCTGTTGGGAGTGCTGGGAGTGCTGCTGGTGCTGGAGGTGCGACTGGGAGTGCTGGAGGTGCTGCTGGTGCCGGACGTACGACTGGGAGTGCTGGAGGTGCTGCTGGTGCCGGAGGTGCTGGACCTACTACTGACCGCCACTGCCTATCATGGCCACTATCACGGCAGTTGCAGCGGCTAGGGGTGGACAGCGGTGGTCACTGCCTCTCCCGGACGACCCCACCCCTCAGCAGCTTCGCGAGTGGGTTCTTCAGCGAGCCCGTCCAATTGGTGGAGGCTTTGGTTTTCTAAGTACTGCACAGAGGCGGCAGCAGAGTGAGCAGGAGACCTTCTCCCCTCAGATGCTTAGTGAGTTGTTTCCTCAGCGATGTGTCACTGGTTCTGTCGAGGCTGCTGCACTAGGTGCTAGTGAGTCTGCTGTCGCACTAGGTGCTAGTGAGTCTGCTGCATCACTAGGTGCTAGTGATTCTGCTGCAGCTTTAGGTGCTCGTGCGTCTCCCGCCACAGGTCCTTCCTCAGCTGAGGCCTTGCACACTTGCACACTTGACTCAGGCGCGTCACGTTGCTTCTTTCGTGACTGCACCACACTCACACCACTTGCTGCACCGATACCGGTCTCACTGGCTGACCCCACTGGGGGCCCAGTAGTCGCACGAGCCTCCACTGTCCTTTCGTGTCCAGCAGTCCCCTCCGGTTCTCTGTCAGGTCTCCACCTCCCCACGTTCTTAACGAACTTGGTGAGCAACGCTGCCATTCAGGATGTCAGGGTTGATACCTTTATTCCTGGAGGGCAGCGTGTGGCGATCTGTACGTGCCCCCGGACTGGCCGTCACCTGGCTATGTTCAGATGACGGCCTGGGTCTAGTCTGTACACACTGACCACTGCGTCTGCACAGGTGGCTGAGGCAGGTCAGGTGGCTGCGTCGACGCGTTTGGTCAAC